TGTTTATAACAGGTGAGGTTAAGGAGATGACTGTAAGTTCTTACACGGGTTGTTGACAGGGACGGTGGTGGGGAGGAAGGATGACCCAGGTTGGAGTAGAAAGGACTGCTAGGTTCTATACAGATTCTCATCACGAGGAGAGAATCTCTCATGCAAACAAAATGTAGTCCTACTAGCGTCACCATCCAATAAATCATTGCCAAGTGTTCAAACATATGCACTACCCTAGACGATTGACACATGGTAAATTGGCTACATGAGAGAACCACTCCATCACGAGACCTAAATAAATCCAAGAGTAGATGTGTTTTCTTACTACAAGAATGGAACGTTGCTAAAAAAAGTAGCCACCTTTCACAACGCAGCCTTGGACGAGATTGCTACATTATTGATTCTGGAAGGAACTTTCTACATGGGAAAAGTTAATTCAACTTCACAGGAGCTGAGGCAACATAACAAGGCCAAATTAGAATGAAAAAAAAAAAAAACCTCCTTTTACTTCCATATTTTGACTTTATACCAAAACAAAAACAAAAATGGTTTAACAATAACAGTGGAATACATTTCTTAGAGCGAAACGCAACTCTCCGATCTTCTTGTCCACCATGTTAACACTCTTATACAAACCTTGACACCTAAATACTTAATGTCCAGAACCAAAAATATAACTTAAAGCTTTATTTAATTAACATGTATATAATTTTTTTTTTTAAATAGTTCAAAAACTAGTACTTTCAGGCAGCATTTTACAAACCAAGAACAAAAGAATTTTTTTTTTTTCTTCTGTTGCTAATAAAGTAGAAGTAAAATTAAAGATTGTGCTCCAAAATGAAAATTCAGACATTGATGCTCAAACTCAAAGAAAATTAAATAAAAATTCAAATGCAGGGGTAAAACAGGAATCAAATTTAAATAGAAAAACAAAGAGGAGGAACCTGGTGTTCATCATCGCTGTCGTGAGATCGAGATTTGGTTCCGAGTCCCAAACAAGAATACGACTTGAACAGTCTGCGGCATTTGGATTTGGATCGACGCCTCCGGCTCCGGCCATTTCCACCAAACGACAACGTCGAGGAAGATAATGCCGCCGCCGACGACGACGTCGCTTTGCTGCCACTCGATCCCATCTTCCTCCCTCCGTCAGGCCAGGCAGGGTCCACTAGTCCAATGCCCTTAAGACTTGACCCTTCAAATGTGATTCAAATTACATCATGAACCACGCATTTGAGATCTGGAATCATGGAGCGGGGGAAGCTGCAGGGAGGAGAAGATTGGGTTTTCAATAACATTTTCACCTTTTTATCGATATAAAAAGAAAGTGATAAATTTAGAGAGAGAGAGAGAGAAGAAGAAGAAGAAGTTATACTTACTTGCAGGGGAGGGAGAGAGAGAGGAGGAGGAGAGAGAGAGAGAGAGAGAGAGAGAGAGAGAGAGATGGCAGATGTGGAAATGGAGGTTTCTGGCTTTTTTTGGTGTGACTGACTGACGACTGACTCGTCTTTTTGAGAGGACGACATGAAAGCAGAGAGAGTGGCGTTCCCTCTGCCTCTTTTTGCGGGATTCAAAATTGGTTTTCGTCCCAACTGGATTGGATACTTCTTCTTCGTCCTTGGGCTTTTCGTCCTTGGGCCTTGGGTCCAGCCCGACTTCTTTCTCTTATATTTTGCATAACTCAAAAACCGTCCATCTAAAACTCAAACGTGAAAATCAAGAAATAGAAGGAACAAAAAGACACGTGCACCAATTTGATCTCCTAAAATTTATACTCTTTCTTACGTTCATGACGTGACAAGTGCCAACTATACATTAAACTTCAATCCCACATTGACCAACTCTACAAAGTTGGGCTAAAGTAAATGAGCGTGATCAAAGGTGTGGGAGCCAAAAATTACTCTTTCACTAAACAAGCAACTAGCATGCTAAACATGGGGAGTGGGGGTAAAGTAAATGAGCACGATCAAATACATCCATGAATGTGGAACATGGAGAAATATAAGGAAAGTGGGACTTCAAGCCCAAGGCTTGAATGCCTATAAAAGGCCAACAACTCCACCAACATGGACGAGGGAGGAGGAAAGTATCATATCGCTTTACAATGTACTACAACCATTTTGAATAAAGATTGACTTGATGGCGAGCGAAGATGGTGTCTAAAGCTTATCAACATGGTTATAAGATTTACTTGTTGGAGGATTGGAGGAACCGAATTTTTTCGCTTCAACATAAGGATACCAAATTTTGAAATCAAATTTACAAACCAAATGATGTTTTACCAATAAGGAATAAACACGTTAATCAACACTTAAGTAATAGTTTAATCATCAACATCCACATCATTTAATTCACAAAATTTGGTTTAGAAATTTGGTCTCCTTAACATTACCCTTTATAAAAGGAACTGAAAACTCATTTTTATAGGGGGTAACGCTGGGGGACCAAATTTTTCAAACTAAATATGCAAACCATATGATGTCCAATTAATTAAGTGTTGGTTAACATACTTATCTCTAATTAGTGACACATCATTTGGTTTGCAAATTTAGTCTCTCTAGCATTATCTTTTTACAAGTAATCATTCATTCTCAAACACCACCATATTACCACTAAACACTACTCATGCCCATGTGACACCCTACACAAACTTTGCTAATGTTGACGCTAAAAACTATTATGGTTATCAAAAGATTATGATGGTCAAATATTGTTACGTGATCGTTGTAAACAAGAAATTTAGCACTAAAAGATTAAGTGATTCGCCTAAAAATGGGGGATACGTCAACTGAAAAGCTATAAATAGTTACAAAGTATCAAATGGAGAGGGGTAGGGGGACCTTAATAGATGTTAATAGCCAAAGAAATATTAGGTCTCTCTCTCTATGTAAAACACAAACTTTCTCCTAGAGTCTCTTACTCTTCTATATGTCGGCGGCCGCCTTCTTTGGGCCAGAATTTCTTTGCCATGTTTTTAAAGGTTGAAAAAAACAAGATAGAGAACCATCTTTAAAGAACAGACAATGTTAGAAACTAAAAAGGTGTGGCCAAAGACGAATTTGGTATTCTTCTTAGTACTACGGTCTAGTGATATTTATCTTCACTAGTAAGTGAGAGGTCTTAGGTTCGATTCTTACCAAAAAAAAATTTGAACCACATTATTGCTAGCCCATTGTGAGGCTAAGCCTCGTTTGTTTAAAAAAAAATGGTGTGGCCTTATCCACAACTCAAAAAAGCTTCAGCATATCCTGTCCAAATAACCACAAGACTCACGGGACATATTCAAGCAACAAATTTGTAGGACTTCTAAACTGATTTTAGAAAACTAAGCAGTATTGATGATGGTGATGATGATGATGGTAAAATAGACATACTCAGTCGTCAAACACTCCCAACTAATCACATCAAAAGCCATATGGCTCACAAAAAATTAAGGTCCAATGATTGTGCGACACGACAGTGCCATGGTTAAAAAGCGTGTTCAAGGTGTAAAAGAACTAAAAACTTATGAATTTTAACCACGAACTAGCAGTCTAGTGATAAATGGCAGATTATGAGGCTTCCTTAAAACTAAAGCCTGGAGGTCTTGGGTTCAAAACCCGCTGTTGGTGTGGAAGCCAGACTTGTGGACAGGGGAGGCCGAAATGCCTCTATCAGTCTTCCCGGTCATCGGAAGAGGTGGATAACCATAATTTGCCACCAGTTGTCCCCCTTTTTAAGAAAAAAAAACTTATGAATTTTGAGCAACAAATTGATCAAAAAAACAAGAAGTTTTATTTGCCAATAGATCCTATTGGCAAATAAAACTTCTTGTTTTTTTGATCAATTTGTTGCTCAAAATTCATAAGTTTTTTTTTTTATCAATTTGTTGCCAATAGGATCCTCTCTGGATCCTTTTGGTAAGGATCCTGGGAATCCGTAAATCATGTTCATTCATTGTACATCATGCGATCAATTTTTTGTCAGGTACTGTTTATATTTAATTTTAAATAAAAATATTTAAAATAATTTTTTATCGCACGATGTACGATGAACGGATATGATTCACGGATCTCCGGAATCCTCACAAAGAGGATCCGACAAGAATTCGGATTCTTTGATTTGAACTCAAATATTATCTCAACTTAAAAGTGTGCCTCATAAACTTCCCATTTTACCCGAAAATGTAACTTTAAGAAACACAGACAAAGAAACCCACTGAGCATGATAGCAACAACCTCCCGTCGACCTTCTATCCTCTCTCATTGTTGTTCAGTTTTTCTGAGCAACCTCCATAGGGCTGGATCTTGTTCCGATTTATTTTCTTTTCTTCAATGAACTAATAATTAAGCTTGTCGATTGTTGTTTTGGGGAGAGAGAGAGAGAGAGAGAGAGAGAGAATTGTGGATTAAGCTAGTTTTTTAGTTATAGGGTTGATGCTTTTCTTGAGAGTTTGAGTTTGATGATGGAGGAGAGTGAAACAATACAGAATTTGGGTTGGGGTGGCAATGGTGAATATGAGTATGCACCAAATCTTTTTCTCTTAGGGTTTATGGTTACAACGAGAGATAAAAATTGAGAGAGAGAGTGGTGACCTGCTACTCGATGGTGGCCGACGAGAAGGAAGTGGAGGCTGTTGTAGTCTAAAACATTATAACCCCTCTCTTTTATCTTACGAATCTAATCCAACTATGGCTACATTCCTCCTATACCAGCAACCAAACCCCACAAACCCTTTTGATCCCCTACGACCGACCCATTTGCCAATTGTTAATTTTTTTTCTCTACACCCATTTTTTATTGGGAACTTTAACGAAAAACTTTCGTACCGTTCATTTTACTCTTTATTTTGTATTTATCGTTAAAACTCAAAGTTTTCCAGCAATTTTCATCAGTTTTTCTTTTTTTATTTAAGACAAAATTGGAATATAACTGAAAAAAAAAAACAATGGGTGGAGAGATAAGATTGCAGGTTAAATAAAGTTTCCCATCAAAAAATTATTATGAAAAAAAATGTGACAATTTTTCAGTGACCCAATTCCAATTTCTGCATATCTCAACAATTCCCCTTGAAAAAACTGTAAACCCTCCAAGTTTTTATCTTTTTTCAACTAACCACTTAAACAACCATTTGGTTCATATAATTTAACATCAGCTAGCTAAATTCTATGACCTACATTCCATTCAATGGAAACAATCAATTCATGCTCATACACTACAATTAACTACCAATTTATGCTCATACACCAAAATCGAACGACGACCAGCAGCAGCCATGGAAATTTGGAAAGCCAAGGAGGTGCACGAAAATCAGGAGCGGCCATGGAAATTCCTTCTGCAATTAACAACAGCAGCAAGTTCAAAATTAATTCAATCCTTCCCTGTCCACCGAATTCAATCCTACCCTTAATATCAACTAAATTTTAATTTGGTATTAACAACAAAAACCCCCAAAAAACAATTTAATCTGCCCAAGAACCCATCTAATTGATGCCAAATTCATCCAAAGCCACCAAAACCCAATACCCGAATCCTAACAACAACTACAATTTCAAATCTTTGATTCAATTTGAGGAGAGGATGACGCTGGACTTAGCTTCCGTCGGTGACGCAGACGGCGGCGTCAATTAAATGTGAGATCTCCACCTGTGACTCTGAGGATGAGATGTAGAGCAGAGAGTTGAGAGAGAGAGAGAGAGAGAGAGAGAGAGAGGAAAGAGAGACGAGAGAGTGAGACGCGAGAGGAACACGAGGGATTTCCCAAAATTTCTTAAGTTTTACCCGTGAATTATATGGGTTTTTAGGACCCGGAACTCAGAACTCAGTTTTAGGGTACACACCTAATTTTACTTTTTTCACGATATTTTTAATTTTCGGCAGTCAGATAAATTAAAAAACATCAAAGGACAACAGAAATTAACAGGTGTAGAAGAAAAAAAAGTATGTGGATAGCATACCCTAGTTTTATTGTGAGCTGATTTCACACTAAGCTTGCTTTGATTGATTTGTTTTCAGCCGTTGAAATCAAATCCAACGGTCCGAATTTGGTCCGCACGCAAGGTCCGGAAAAGGTGGTCCGCACTTAGAAATGGCGGAAAGTGAAAGACCCTACTTTTGGCGGCTGGCCTTGAACAATTTTCAAGCCCAAAATTAAAAGAAATGACCTTGTTTACGGTCCGCAAAAGTACATTCTTAAGTCGTATTTCATTGAATTGCTCTCTAAAATAGTCTTCTGAAACTGAATTAAGGTGGAAGAATGTGAATACAATCGAGATTAAATGACTAATTACATAAACAATGAGGAAAGACACACCCAGCACACAAGCTTCTGTGCCGTGGTGGCCTTCCATTATTTTCGTACTACTTGATCAATGACATTTTACTTTTCTTTCATATTCGACATAATTAACTTGACCTATAAATCTAGCTAGTAAAAATGAATATATATGTGTCTCACAAATTGATATATCTATTTTCTACGTTTAATATACCTTTCTCGACATTTTGGCGAAATTACTGTGTTGGTGGTGATTTGGATCAAAGTTACGGTTATGGCAAGTGGGATTGCAAGGGTAAGGACAATCAATCTTTTGAAAGGGAGTTCGGTCGTAGAACCAGTCTCCAACTGCCTTTGCAATCGTCTGCAGATGAAAATACAGTTTTAACAACAAATTAGAACTGATGTATAGCAGTTAGTCATGGAAGATGCATGAATGAAAGCTGTGTTCAATGTTTACCGTCTTGTTCAGTACTGGAGAGTCGGGCATTAACCATGTCTCCTGCAGTTCAGTTTGGCAGTGTGCATAGCAAGAGTCTATGAACATTCCTTTTGATCGAGAGCCGCTCACACCACCAATTGCACTTAAAAACTGCGCCCTGAAATCTGAAAACGGGACAAAGATTCATTCAACCAGGATCAACTAATTTCTGTTTCGGGTTGAAAACTTCTGAAGGCCGGATGGCCTAGCTATTAGCCTGTCCGTTGATACTGGCTTAGTTTTCTGGCGTTTATAATTACGTACCTTGCATGGTTTTGAGTTGAGTGGGTTTACAATGCGTTATGTCAAGCTTGCAGTTTTGCCAAGTCCCATGGGGATCGGCAACTCCAGGTGCCAAGATGTTCTTTATCTGGATGGACACAATCAGATCAAGTAAAAAGAGGAAATCAAAAGGAAAAATAGACAACGAACTGAAATACAATGGAAGCAACTTAGCAGAGTTCGTAACAGAAAGAATAAGCTAACCTGCCATGAATCGTAGGCTGCATTTACATAGAACATTGGCGTCCGGATTTGTGAGGCAAAATATTGCGGGAAAAAGCACTAGATTATTGTTTCAAAAGTATCATTAGAATTTACAAATGAAAAGGATATAGTTGCAATTGAAAATCTTTACAAATGTCAAATACTTACCAAACCTGGACTCAATTTTGAAGTGCAAGATGGAGGCAAATTCTTCGCCGAACCCTACACAAAGATTGACAATGAGAAGTAACGTGGATTAATATTTGAACCACATTACGAAGGGCTGACAAATAAGGGAAACTCTCTTTTCGCGTCTTATATAGAGAGAAGGAGAGAGGGAATACATGTGTTGCAACCACTTGACTAAAAAACTGTTCAACATGTCGTGCTCCAGAAACATCCTTCCTGCAATTCATTACCAGGTGGATAAGCAACTCTCGTGTAGTTTGGGAATCGGAATACAAGGTACTAAGCGTAAGCTTACGCATTAATGAAGTAACCAGCGTCTGAAACGCATTTCACTTTAGCTCCAACAGGTAAGAGGGCATGGAAGTTGTCACAGTGAAGAATGGACGCCAATCCACCAGCAGAACAACCAGAGAGAATAGCCTGCAGTAAAATGTGCTAGCAAGTCATCAGAGCTGACGACAACAGAGCTGAAATGGTTGACAGTTAAGGGGTCATACGTTTTTAGCCTTCCCCATTCCTTTTGCTAATAGTTCTTCAATGACTGCACGAAAAATCCTTGCTCCTCTGAAGAAAAGACCGGTAGCCTGCTCAAATTGTTATTTCATCGATAATCCCACAATCAGAAATGAAATGAGGGGCCCAGATTCAGGACAAATGGTGTCTGCAAACTCAGACTGCTACTTGAAGGTAACTTACTAGGTTTACAGCTGCAACATCACCAGTGAATGATGCCCCGTCGCAATACCTAACTTTGACTCTATTCCAGTTGTAAAAGTCTGGCATGGAATACGGACTTTTAGTTCTACTGGTAAAAAGCAAGGAACTCAACAGACAAAAGAAGAATGAAAGCTATATCGATCAACTATACTACTAAGCTTTTAATCGTAAAAAAGAAAATTGTTCAAACAATGGCAAGAAGTACTGAATCTTGATTAGCAAAAATAGATATCAAACCCGGATTAAATATATGCCTGCTGTTCAGAATCCCAGAAAATGCAATTTCCTTGAGCATTTTCTTAGATGAACCTAAACGGTTGTTTTTACGGACAAGACAAGTTGTGATATTGTTACACCATCCTCCTCCCTAAGATCAAAACATAAAGAAGAAGAATTACGGCATCAGAACTTCACGAACTATCAAATATTCAGATTTTCATGAAAATTATCGATATAACTTGTTCCTATTGTTCTCTCTTATCTTGTGAAATAAACTGTATTGGGAGCTGAGAGAAAAGGACAAACCTCAATGTGAACCAACCAATTGTTAATTCCTGAACCATATCCCTTATCAAGGTGGTAAGCTGGGGGACTCCCATCCAAGCAAACTGCACAACATGTCAAATTCCAAATTCTGAATCAAATATTTGTTTTGAAAACGAAACTCGAAAAAAAGGAAATTACTCTTATCAGCATATTTGCACAAGAGTTTCTCACCGGCTCCTTTGGCAACCGCACTATGAACGTAAGTTATTCCCACAGGTAATGCGGCTGCTTTCAGCAGCATGACTGCACATACTAGAACAGACAACCATTGGCCTAATCTTGCACCAGCCATCTGCCTATACGAAGTAAAGAAATCAATATACCAAAAACAAAACCGAAGGAAAAAAGAAAACACCACGAAAACAGAGAAATTCATTTCGAGGCATAACCAATTGACAAAATCAATCAAGAATCTACATCTACTGGGACAATCATCGATATATCGTGTCTACAACATGCATAAATACATACATACATACATACATACATACATACATACGTAAGTAAAAGAAAGGGAATCTATTTTGCAGGTTTTCCACCATAACAAAAAATAAAAAAATCCCAGAGTATCTAACTAGAGCCGATCCTCCTCGAATGATCCAAACCAGTTTAATTCTCAGCTTTCGTATTGCTTAATGGTCAAGGATGAGCATTAGCAACAAAGAGCTTTTTCCAACTTTTGCAAGGTATCAAGACTTCAAGGCCATAAAGTTGGTTCTTTTCAAAACTAGGTGGCTCCTTTTTCATCAAGCCAACATTATACACTCAGAAAAGGAAAAGTTATCAAAATAATAATAAATTATATTAAAGAAAAATAATAAAAACAGACTCATCAATCATATTATATATGCAAACATTTCCAAATCTAAATGCTAACAAAATCATTCAGAAATCTATTGGCTGACATAAACAAATCGATTTTTCTCAGAAAAAAAAAAAAAAAAAAAAAAAAAACCATCTTTGATATTGCTTCAAAGTACCCAACTTACCCTTGGCCTTGGTTCAGTGGAAAATCCCAGTTCAACTTCAACCGCACAAAGAAATATGCATATATTTTGATATACAGACAGAGGAAATATTAAACACTCTCTTAAAAAGGAGAGTGCTAACTGAAAAAATAAAGACGGCAACGCCAATGTGCTGACTGACATTAATGAATATATATATACACACACAGAAAGACATATATAAATGTATAATGTGGGTTGTTGATGTTGTTAAGCATACAAACAAGAAAAAAGTGGATCCAAATTTATGAAAAAAAAAATGTTGTTTACAACAGAAACAAAATAGCTTACTATTATGGCAAAACCAGAAACAGCATAATGTACCTGAAATGAAAGATCGAAATTGATGGGTTGGAGGAGTGATGCAATGGTAGCCAAAGGAAAAGGATGGAGAGAGTGATGAGAGTTCGTTTGCAAAGTTTTCGTATATATATGCAGAGAGAGAGAGAGAGAGAGAGGGAGAGAGGGAGATTTCTATTGCGTTTTTGGAGCAGCGAACCCGAGAGCCGACACTAATTTTCGTTCCCTCCCAACCATTCCCCAAAGAAAAGGGTTAATGATTGGATATGGACTCGGGTTTGGGCCTTTCCTCATCTAGTATGACCCGACCCAGATGACAAGGAAAGCCTCCACTGGCGACTGCTTAATTCTGCTGCTGCAACGAACCTTATCGTATTACGCTGTGTTTTAACTTTTATTTGAGGCAGAGATGGTGTATGTAGGGCGGAGAATCCTCTACCTGTTTCTTATGAGAAGAATCCTCTCTACTTGTTTCTTAGTGAATGACAAGAAAATGAAAGTTTAGGGTGGTTGGTGAGGTTATAATTTTCTTTCGAAAGAAAACGAAAAGCCATGACAACACCATTAAAAAAGAGATTTGTCAACGCGTCTGGAGTATATAATGATACACCATATATCATTATACAAATAGAAAATCACTTAAAAAATAAAACTCTCATCTACTTATATAATTATGTATGGTGTACTATCTGTATGCCTGCATACTGATTACTGAGCCAAACTGCCAGGCATGTAAAGCTTTCATGAGGCAAAACATTAATTCAAACTTGTAGATCGGCTTTTTTACGGCTTTTTTTTTCTTTTGGGTACCTAATTCATCATATTTGGTGACTTTTTAAGGAAGCAATTATAGTTGGGCTTTTCCCCAAATCAAAAGAAAAATTAAAGATCTGCACTACAAATTGATACAGAGTTTTGAACCCTAGATGCGCTGGTAGGAGGTAACACTATATTCACTAGAAAATTAAATCAGATGTCAAGTAACCAAGTTTCTTGAACAAACCTACTATTGTCAATTGTCATTGTAGTTTGATTTTACTTTTGTAACACGTTATCAACATTACAATACGTGTTAATCGCACATTTTTTTCTCCTTGAGTTGGATTTTGGCATGACCAGATTCGTAGCAACAATCTCAATCTTAATTCTACGTGGTGCGGGTGTTGCGAGTTATATATTAGTTAAAATGTAAATAGTAGTCTATTATCTCACACTGATAAAGTGCATATGTAATACCAATTGTAACTCTCAAATATTGTCACATATATTGTTGGTATTTACCATGTTTAGTTTAATATAGCATCAGAGCAGTTCGCTCTTGGTGACATGTGTGCTTTAATTTTGTGTCCACCTTTGTCGTGATTCCCTTTGTTGAAAAAAAAAGAAAAGGGAGAAAGTGAATAGTGCCACGCTACAGTACAGTGCCGTGAACAGTAGTCAACGACAGTGTTTGTGGACAGTAATCTGTTATAGTGTCGTGAACAGTGATCTGCTACAGTACCATGAACAGTGTTCTGGTAAATTGTTTTCATTTCGCTGCGTATCTTTTGTGCCTTTATTGTTCGTAATTTAGTTCAATGGCTCAATATAATCATAGTGTTATTATGCATCTTGATGGAACAAATACATGGATAATTAATACTGGAGCCACTGATCATATGACTAGTGACCCTAGAGTGTTTGATGAGTATGTGACTATGTTCGTGATCCGTATATTACTAGTGCAAATGAAGCACCTTCCCCTGTGAAGGGTGAAGGCATTATCTCTCTTACTCCGACCTTATCATTGGTCCATGCTTTACTTGTTCTTGATGTTAAGTGCAATCTTTTGTCGGTAGGAAAACTACTGGATACCTTATATTGTTATGTTCACTTCTACCCTACGTATTGTTATTTTCAGGACATTCAAACTCAGAAAATAATTGGTCGTGGTAAAAGAATAGGGGGTTTGTACATCTTAACTATGGAGGATAGTGTTGTTTCCGATTCAAATAATCATCAAATTTTAAGTGCTAAAGTGGATGATAGACATCAAATTTGATTGTGGCATCAACGATTGAGACATCCATCATTCAATTATATGAAGCATCTATTTCCTTCTTTGTTTTGTACTTGTAGTGATTCAGAGTTCAAGTGTGAAACATGTGTCATGGCTAAGAGTCATCGTGCTTCCTTTCCCATAAGTGATTCTAAAGCTACTTTGTCGTTTGATTTAATACATTTTGATGTGTGGCGTCCGCCGAAGGTTACTTCTAATGGATTTCGTTGGTTTGTTACTTTTATTTATGATTGTACTCGATTAACTTGGATGTTCTTGATGAAGAATAAGAGTGATGTTCCCTTGCTTCTTCAAGAATTTTGTTCAATGGTGTCTACTCAGTTTCAGACCAAAGTTAAGGTCTTCAGGTCTGATAACGGAGGAGAATATGTGAATCACACTTTGACATGTTTTTTTAGTGATCAGGGTATTATTCACCAAACGACTACTTCGTTTACACCCCAACAAAATGGTGTGTCCGAACGGAAGAATCGTCAAATAATGGAGGTTACTCGCTCCTTGATGTTGGATAAATGTGTTCCTAATCATTTGTGGGGTCATGAAGTTTTGGCTGCTATGTATTTGATCAATTGTGTTCCAAGTAGGTTCTTGATTTTAAGACCGCTTGATATGCTACAAAAACATGTTTCTCTTATTTTTGTATCAAAACTTGCTCCGAAGGTGTTTGGGTGCATTGCGTATGTGCATGTCTACTCTCATCAACGAATTAAACTTGATGCATGTGCTCTTCGATATGTATTTATTGGGTATGCTAACAATCAGAAAGGCTATATGTGTTATTATCCTCCGACTTATAAAACTTATATTACCATGGATGTCACATTCCACGAGGAAGTTTCGTATTTTGTGAAGTTCTCTTCCAACTCTCCACTTCAAGGGGAGAGGGGGAGTGAAGTGCAGATTCGAATAGATGGTATAGATGATGTGTTACAGGCAGAGTTGGGGACAGAACGTATTATGTTGTGTGATATTGATCAGTCGGCTATAGATAGTGATCAGTCACCTGTTATTCCCGAAATATTTCTACTGATGACAGATCAGATGTGCCTAATGAGTTGCATGTTAGTATGTCTGACGAATTACTTTATGATGACCGGTTGCTTGCTTTTGGTATGTCTAACGAGTTGCCTGATGATGGTTCGTCCAGTGATGATTCTTCTAAAAATTTGGTACAAGATGGTGACATACATGAGGTAAATTCTGATGATTCTTCTACTTATCAGTTGCCTCCACGAGCTAATCGTGGAAAACCTAAAGTACAATATGAGCCTGATATGCATGCCAAAGCCAAATATACTATCAACAATTATGTGTCTACTCATTGTTTGTCCTAACCATATGCATCTTACGTAACATCCCACGTCGCCCAGGGGAGCGGATCTTGTAAGCCTTATATGTATATTCCCATCTCTACCTAGCACGAGGCCTTTTGGGAGCTTACTGGCTTCTGATTCCATCGGAACTCCGAAGTTAAGCGAGTTCACGCGAGAGCAATCCCAGGATGGGTGACCCACTGAGAAGTTCTCATGTGAGTTCCCAGAAACAAAACCGTGAGGGCGTGGTCAGGGCCCAAAGCAAACAATATCATGCTACGGTGGAGTCGAGCCCGGGATGTAGTGAGGGTTCAGGCCGGGATGTGACAATTTGGTATTAGAGCCAATCCCTGGTCGGATGTGTGCCGACAAGGACGCAGGGCCCTTAAGGGGGGTGGATTGTAACATCCCACATCGCCCATGAGAGTGGATCATGTAAATCTTATATGTATATTCCCATCTCTACCTAGCATGATGTCTTTTAGGAGCTCACTGGCTTCGGGTTCCATCGGAACTCCGAAGTTAAGCGAGTTCGCAGCGAGAGCAATCCTAGGATGGGTGACTCACTAGGAAGTTCTCGTGTGAGTTCCCAGAAACAAAAACGTGAGGGCGTGGTCGTGGCCTAAAGCGGACAATATCGTGCTACAGTGGAGTCGAGTCTGGGATGTGATGGAGGCCCGGGCCGGGATGTGACATCTTATATATGGCAACTATCTAGTGTATCAATTCCAACAAAATTGCACGATACTTTATCTAACCCTAAGTAGGTTAATGCCATGAGAGTTGAGATAAAAGCATTGGAAAAGAATTCTACTTGGGATTTAGTTCCTTTACCAAATAGGAAGAAAGTTGTTGGATGTAGATGGGTGTTCACTATTAAGCATAAAGCAGATGGTTTTGTTGACCGGTATAAAGTCAGATTAGTTGCTAAGGGTTATACTTAAACCTATGGGGTGGGCTATCATGAGACTTTTGCTCCTGTTGCCAAACTTAATAATGTTCGTATTCTTCTGTCCTTAGCAGCAAACTAGGATTGGTCTATGTTGCAATTTGATGTTAAGAATGATTTCCTTCATGGTGATCTCAAGGAGGAAGTTTATATGGATCTTCCACCTGGTATCGGACCATCTCCTGGAAAATGTGTTGTATGCAGGTTGCAAAAGGCTTTGTATGGTTTGAAACAATCTCCTAGAGCGTGGTTTGGGAGGTTTACAAGTTCAATGAAGAAGTTTGGGTATGTCCAGAGTCATTCAGATCATACTTTGTTTCTAAAACGACAAAATGGTAAGCTAACTGCATTGATTATTTATGTTGATGACATGATAGTGACTGGTGATGATCAGAATGAGATACAACGCCTTCAAAAGTACCTAGCTACTGAATTCGAGATGAAAGAATTGGGTGAATTGAAGTATTTTCTTGGAATCAAGGTTGCACAATCCAAGCATGGTATTTTTTTGCCTCAACGGAAGTATGTTCTTGATTTGTTAGCTGAAACAGGTATGTTAGATTGCAAACCCGTTGATACTCTGATTGAGCAGAATCATCGTCTGGGCTTATTTTCGAATCAAGTTTCTACTCATAAGGAACAATATCAGAGGCTTGTGGGGAGATTAATTTATTTGTCTCACACTTGCCATGACATTGCTTATGCAGTTAATGTGGTAAGTCAGTTTATGCACTCACCTAGTGAAGCTCATATGGATGCAGTTATCCATATTTTGAGGTACTTAAAGATGGCTCCTTGCAAAGGCTTGGTTTTCTCCGAGAATGCTCATTTGAATGTCGAAGGGTATATAGATGCAGATTGGGAAGTTTTATCACTGATCGGCGATCTACATCTGGATACTTTACGTTTGTGGGTGGTAATCCAGTTACTTGGAGAAGCAAGAAACAAAAAGTGGTGGCTAGGTCAAGTGCTGAAAATGAGTTTCGTGGTATGTCTCATGGTGTATGTGAGTTGTTGTGGTTGAAAAAATTGTTGAGAGATCTTGGATTTAAACCCAAGGTGCTATGAAACTTCATTGTGATAACAAGGCTGCTATTAAGATTGCTCATAATCCAGTGCAACATGATCGAACAAAACATGTGGAGATTGATCGACATTTCATCAAAGA